ACCAATGTAGTATTTATCTTATGTTACCTTTCACTTCCAATGGCGTAGATCTCGTGGATCCCCGGGCGCCCGGCGACTGCTGTGTGTTGACTCCGTTACGGTTAGGACTGACGCTCTCTCTTCTCACGTTGAGTTTTTAGTCTCCAGTCGATCTTGTTTGTACTCATCAGTGCACGGGGAAAAACTGCTGCCCGTGCACAACCAATTGGCCAGAAAGTCGCCCCCAAAACTAGTCAAGTTTTGGAGACGTGAAAGGCTAAAATATTGGCCCTACAGTATAAAGAATACATGAATCAGAAATACATGAATCAAACTTCATAAAGTTCATATTTTTGCATGTAGAGCATTCAAGACTGGACATTTTTGTTGCATGGCTTGTTTTAACACTTGTTTGATAGTCAAGTAGGTCTGTGCTGATAAGTTACTTGATTTATAGATCTACAAACTGGACCTGAGGGCTGTGAGCCTTGAGATTCTGCCCAGACTTCGGAATTTTTCTAAAAGGATTGAAATCATGGAAGGATATTTTGTTGTAGGAAGAATGTCCCTGTGAGTGCAGGCGTTTTTCTCCTCAGTGTTCTTGCCTCTGTTAGGCTTAATTCCTCTGGTTTTGATTAGGAATGTATAGTTTTTTGGTTTTTAAAAATTCTAAAGTCCATAATATTTTTATGCCCCCATTGACATAATTTAGATCATTCTGGAAGCAGGCTTGGGCCCTGCCTGTCAGTGTCAACCTGGGCTGAGAGGGATACAACTTTAAGACATTTGTTTTATCAGGATAAGAACAGTGAGACATTTGAGCAAGTGTCTTGTATAATGAGGGAACAGATTGACAGTAAGACATTTGAGTGAGTGTTTTGTATAAGGGAACCCCTTGACAGTAAGACATTTATATATGAGTGTCTTGTATAAGGGAACCCATTGACAGTAAGACATTTATATGAATGTCTTGTATGAGGGAACCCATTGACAGTAAGACATTTATATGAATGTCTTGTATGAGGGAACACATTGACAGTAAAACATTTATATGAGTGTCTTGAATGAGGGAACAGATTGACAGTAAGACATTTGTTGAGCGAGTCTTGTACGAAGGTATATGTTGACAGAAAAAGATTTAGGTGAGGACTAGAACAGTAAGTCATTTATGTGAGAGGACAATAGTCCGACATTTGAGTGAGTGACTTTCTATATGACTAGGTGGCAGAGAAGCACCGCGGTGAACAAATGGGTCCCCTGATGAGGCTGGAGGGCAACAAGACACCGCGGGAGCCCAAGGTGGGCAGACTGCACCAAACGTCGACTGGCAGGTGAGTCAGGGAGTTTTCCTGATATAATATTGATAATAATAAATAGTATTTGTATGGCGCATAATCCCACTCAACAGCATGCTCTATGCGCTTTACAGTATATTATTACTCCAGCAAACCGTAAAACACTCAGAAACATTCTCAGCTTCCCAGGAAGCATACAGAGCAAGCAGCTGTTTAAGCTCTCAAACACTAACAATCTGACAAGATCTTTCACTGTCTATAGCTGTGTTCCTATTCCCACCTGGGTGAGGTGAGGAAAATTTGTTTAAAGTGCCTTTCCCAAGGACACAACGTCGGGTCCCTGACGGGATTCAAACCCATGACCTTACGGTTGCGAGTCTGAGAGCCTAACCCCTAGGCTACCGACGCCATGTAAAGAGGTGATGACATTTCTTGTGCTCTTACTATGGCTGGGGTTATATCATTTTGTTTTGTTTTATAGTACTAACTTACTTACTTGATTGGAGAATAGGTATCATCGCAGGCGGTACAATGCCATAGCTGCTCCTCCCTCCTCTCCAGAATCCTGAAAGGGTTGGTTTGCTGATCGTGTCAGTTATCAGCTGGTTGGATATTCTTCTGGCTTTTCCCCACAGGTTGCTGTCTCTCCCCAACCCTCTTGAGACGCCATCTTCCCTCAGTCTTTCCATTGTGTGTGATGTGGAGCCCTCAACTTCTCATATAAATAGTACCCAATAATGCAACGACTGTATTGCAATGTAAATAACTAGATTACAGAGAAAACACTGGAAAAGGAGAATGACGGGGGTAGTATATTGAATGAGGCAAAATGCTTCTTTAAATCAGAAAGGTTGTGTTCTTTAGACAGAATTGTTTGTTCCTGTACAATTAATGTGAGGTCAGTGGGAAGGTAATGCTGACAAAAATAGGTTTATTTTATGTATTTATTCTCTTTTCCATCTGGTGTTGGTTTTTTGGGTTTTTTTTAGGAGCGGGAGATTTTGCAGATTCCCCTTCATAAAGATCTATATTACAGATTGCCGAAATTCAGGTGTACTTCCATGCACAGGAAAGTACTGTAGTATTATAAATATTCCCCCTGTGCTTACCCCAACCACCACCTCAGCTCCTTTAGATGACAACTGTCAAATTATAAATGTTTACTCTTGCATTAACAACCACCACAACCACCCACTTCCTACGCCCCTACCGTCACTTGGTGAAGGTAGCCTGTATGCAGTGTTGTCCACATCTGTTCATCATCACTGATTGATAGATAGATAGATCACGAGTATATATAGGTCATGCCCTAGATCTTTCTGATCTTCTGTGATATAAAACCGTTTGTTTCCCATGCCCCCTCTGGTGGTTCCTGTCTTTTGTTGGTGATGAAACTGATAGGTGCTGTCTTGTCATAACGGGCAGTCTGTGGTGTGGTGGTTAGGCTCTTCCGCCGTTGAGTTTGTGGGTGGTTGGAGGATGTCACTGATGGGTCCTACTTCCTTGTTGTATCTTCTACAGTCTGCTCCCTGGTTCTACTGTCAGTCTCTATTGAGGTCGTGTCTGTTCTTATGGGCATTTTTAATCCTGCCGTAAGTTTGAAGAATGAAGATAATAGATGTAAGTCAATGTTAGATACCATGTCTTCTTGCTGGTGGTTGGAGGGTGCCACTATTTGAGTCCTACTTCTTTTCTTTCCCCCTGTTGAGTCGAATGAATTTTTATTGATGTTTATTTATCTCTGACTCTGGGGAGAAAGTTTACATGGGAGTATTCACTGGTTGTCAACAAATTAATCAGCAATATTCTCTCTCTCTCTCTCTCTCTCTCTCTCTCTCTCTCTCTCTCTCTCTCTCT